CTAGAGGGTATTATGCTAAGCGAAATAAGTCAATCAGAAAATGGTAAGTATCATATGATCTCACTGATATGAAGAATTTGAGAAAGAAGACAGAGGATCATAGGGGAAGGGAGGGAAAAATGAAACAAGAGGAAACCAGAGAGGGAGACAAACCATAAGAGACTCTTAATCTCAGGAAACAAACTGAGGGTTGCCGGAGTGGAGGGGGGTGGAAGTGATGGGGTGGCTGGGTGATGGACATTGGGGAGGGTATGTACAATGGTGAGCACTGTGAATTGTGTAAGACTGATGAATCACACAGTTGTACCCCCGAAACAAGTACTACATTATATGCTAATAAAAAAATTTTTTTAAATAAAATTAAATAAATAAATAAAATAAAACAAAACATTATTGTGGGCATACTCACTCTTTAGATTCCTGAGTCCTTTTAGTAACATGCTGTACAACTGTGTCATAGCCAGATTCCTCATCCTGATTCTGATCAGATGTCCATTTTTCCATTTCTTCTTCAATCATAGACCCCAAAGTGTTACATATATGCTGCCGAAGATATTTCACAAATTCATAGCTAAAACAAATATTTAAAAAATAAATCAGTAAATATCATGACCTCACTTATTAAACATATCCAGGAAAAAAATGTTAGCACAGAATGTTTTATACAATACTCAGATTTCTTACCTTACACTAGGATTAAATTTTTCATCCCAAATCACCAAGCTAATCTAGAATTTTTTTTTTTTTTTCTGGGACATTGGCATTTTCTGCTTGCATCCCATGCCCACTCACTCCATCAATCCACCCAGTCATCAACATTTGTTAATATTGCCTACACATCCTTTGGCTTCATCACTTCTCCTTTTTTCCCACTTATATTGGTCAGTGAAAATCCACATCACTTCACACAGAGATTACTACTGCAGCCTTCTTGCTCATCTTCTTTCACCTCCCCTTCCCTCTCATATTTATCCTGAACACTAGTTATCTTGGTCCTCAAAACTCACAGACTTCATTATTTCTGAGTTAGAGCCATTTTATTCATATCAATACCTCATACCACATCACATACATAATGTCTCAATAAATATTTGTTGTATTTAAAACTAATTATTGGCTGTCTATTATCCTTCAAATACAATTTCCTTGGCTTAGCATTTAAATACCTAATCAATCAAGCCTCTTAATTACTGCATCTCCACTTACATGAGGCCACGCTTAATTTTCTCCACAAACACCAAACATTTTGATTTGCATATAAGCAAGGAGGGATTTTTAAGTGATTATCATGTATTAGACACTGCCCTAAGGATTTTATTAATATTGTTTTATTTACCACATGAAATAGGTAAAATAGATGAGGACACAAATTGAAAAGTTAAAAAGCCTTGTCAAATGCACAAGCTACAGGGGCGTCTGTGGCTCAATTGGTTAAGCGGCCAGCTCTTGATTTCTGCTCAGGTCATGATTTCACGGTCCTGGGATCAAGCCAAGCATCAGGCTCCATGCTCAGTGGGGAGTCTGCTGGAGGATTCTTTCTCTCTCTCCCTCTGCCCCTCCCCAGCTTCTATGCACACACACACATTCTCTCTCTCTCTCAAATAAACCTTTAAAAAAAAATTCACAAGCTACTAATTCAGTTCCACCTTAATCCGAAACTCCTGTCATTCCCACAATCCCACACTCTCCCCAAAATGGAAAAATTTCAAAAATGTTTAAGAAATAAAATAAGATGTTCTGTAGTGCTCAATGGAGACTGGAAAGGGAAATAGATAAATGTAACACTCATGTTTTTACCAACTGTATATTATTTAAATTTCTTGCATTTAGGGAGATAAATCTATTATATTTTATTTTCTCAAAATTATAATTCACATATTAAATTTAAAAGTATAATTTACTTAAAAATTTATTTTAAGTTATTTATTGAATTTACTTTTAAATGTTTAATATTTAGATTCAATGTTTAGCTAGTAACTTCTAAGCTTTAAGAAAATAGGTATCTATTAATGGCAGAAGAAGAAAACAACATTATTTTGTAAACATCAAAATGATGAACACTAATTTTCAGAAATACTCCAAGAAAAACAAAACCCAAAACTTACTGAATCATATATCATAGAAAATAGCCTCTAATCATCGTTTAAGCAGTTTTACAGTTTTTGCTTCTTCTGGTGATTCATCATTGCCTTATATTACCTTGAAGATCTTCCCTTATACAAGCATAACTTACCATCCCTTTTAAATGTTAAACTTATTTTTTAGTTTGTATATTTGTAATTATAAACCAAATTTTTGCATATTCTATACAAAATGGCGAAAACTTACAAAAAGGCAAGAAGAATTCAGAGATTAAGGTTTCAAGAGAATCTTTTAAAGATGCTAATTTTTTTTACAGTAAGTCTTTTTTTTAATTTAATTTTATTATGTTAATCACCATACATTACATCATTAGTTTTTGATGTAGTGTTCCATGATTCATTGTTTGCGTATAACACCCAGTGCTCCATTCAATACATGCCCTCTAAAGATGCTAATTTTTTAACATTTGACAGTCCCTATAATGCCTCCACAGAGGGACAGCTTGCTCTGAGATTAGAGTTGGCAGCTGTGTGTGATGAGATCTGAAGAGCCCAAAAAATATGTGTTCACCACAACCATCCCACCACAACCAGAAACCCTCTGAAGAATCAGAGTATCTGAAATTCCAAGACCAAAAATGTATCACTGCTTTCTTTAAAATGTCCTTGTAAATAAAAAAGGATCCAGGAATAGATAATCCTTTCAGCCTAATCAGTATGACCTCACAGCCAGACTCTTAGTGCTGGGAAAAGGAAAAGTGTAATTGGAAGAAAGTGCAAAGAGATGAAAGGTCCCTAAAAACAATCTCGATCTTCCTCACAATCTTGCTCTAGGCTAGTCAAACAGACACAGGAGTTTTCCTTCACATCTTTGAGATACTCAGTAGGAAACAAAACATGGGGAAGCCTGAGTTAATTCTCTCAAACTAAAGGAAGGGTCACTTTGAAGATGAATTCTACATCTCATCATCAACGTCTACTATGGAAAGGCAAATGATTCCTTAGTTTGATCAGCCCCGTTTCTGTGCCACAAATCAAGCAATCACAAGAAATGAATATTTAACTGAGAAATATAACTTTTGTGTTTGCTCTGTTTAAAGCCCAAACTATAAGCAACAGAAATGACATTTTCCTAACTAAGGCAGTGAAGAAATATAAAACAAGCCCATTAACAAAATGTATTCAAAAAGTTGAGAGAAGGGGCACCTGGGTGTGGCTCAGTCAGTTAAGTGTCTGCCTTTGGCTCAGGTCATGATCTCAGGGTCCTGGGATCTGCCCCATGTTGGGCTCCCTGCTTAGCCAGGAGTCTGCTTCTCCCTCTGCCTCTCCTTCTCCCCCTCCCCTCTGCTCATGCTCTGTCTCTGTCTCTCTCTATCTCAAATAAATAAATAAAAATCTTAAAAAAAAAAAAAAAGTTAAGAGAATACCATTCTAAAATAAAAGACACATCAAAAAAAAACAAAAAACCTCCCCACTATTTAGCATCATCTATAAATAGCAAATAGCAAGTATCCTGAGAAAAAGTTTAAACCTCCTCTTTGGGAACTTGAATAACCACATACTTTTTTCTAGTGACATCATTTTTATCTATGACCATAGTACTATGTCCCAGAAGACACCATTCAAAATACTTCAAGGTTCTGGTTCATCTTCCAAATTAAATGATCCCAAGAACCCCAAAATTGAATATTGCCTAATGGGTCACTGCTCTTTTAAGAAAAAAGATCTCCAGGGAGGATAAGGCCCTCTGTCATGTGAGGACTACCAGGCTGCCTACGGCCCTTTGGATGCTCTACTGACTCATTGATCATTGGAAGATTCAAATTAGTAAACAGTCATTTCTGCAATTGGACCCTTCTCCTCTTTGGGTAAGAAAAATCCAAGGCTTCAAATTCTCATCTGACAATTCATTTTGTGTTGGTTTTTTTACCATATGAATTCACAGCAATGTCCCATAAATCCTGCAAGGAACGCTGTTTTCTATAGTGGTGCCCAGGATAGAAAGTTATTGTTACTATGGGCTGGGAGAAACACTTCTATAAAATTAAGTACTGTGTTGCCTTCATTGTAATCCTCACAGTATTGGTGCCATCGAGTTGCTCTTATGAAATCTACAACTAAACCAAAAGATTAATGATAACCACAGCTCTTTAAACCAACCCATTGCATCATTTTTAAGAAATTATTCTGGAGGTGTTGCAATATGCTTATTTTTTAAAAAAGCAAAAGCCCTGGATGCACAAAAGAGACTTTCAAAAGGTCCCATACATATTCCGGAATTGCAAACTCAGATGTTACCAGGGGTAGACAGTAAAGTCGGCCATGTGTAAGAGAGAAAAGAGGCAGGGGTGAAATAAAAGGACATGTCTCAGCTAAAAGGAAGAGCTTCTACATGGCTTTAGCCACTTGTTGCCATTTAGGAATATTAGCCTAATGTTGATTTCTCAATGTTCTAAGAAAAGCCAGAAAACTATTTTATGTGCCACCTCCCAATTCTTAAATGTTGCCTTTTTTTTTTTTAAACAAAGCCAAAGAAACACATCCACAGACCAAGTATGGCCTGCAGAATTCCAGTTTGACCATTAACATCCCCTCACTCAAAGCATTATAAAACCCTGACCACTAAAGATACTGGTGAATCACCTCTATGTTTAAAATTCCTATTTAAGAAATGTAAAACTTCCTTCAAAAAAATGTACATTCTTAATAACTTATTTTAGAAGATCCTTATGAGGCTTAATTTAAGTCAATTCTGCTACAGTTTAGGTCCTTTCCTTTCAGATTTATTTTTAGCAGACTCCTCTGTGTTAACATTTTCAGATTAACATACTCTAATTGTACTGGAAATATAAGGAATAATACAGCTTTGCCATGGACTACAATAAATACAACTTCCATTTATTTGTAAGTCTATTAAGTTCATCTTAAAATTTTCTAGTAATGAAGTTTCTTATTTTTTAAAGAACATGATATATACAATGAATAAATGTTAAAGCTTTAGAAATCTATGAATCCCTTTGCTTCAGGTTTAAGTTCTAAATTTTACACTGGTCAATCTTGTAACCTTAGACAAAACACCAGACCTTGCCAAATTTCAGGTTCCTGCTACATAACAATAATGGTAATCCTAATGCAAAAACTGCTGTTTATTACACATAGCTATACTTTGACACTTTTCAAACCAAATATACTATACATATATTTGACTAACCTTATTTGTTACCTTAAAAGTAATTTAATGAGAAAAAAATAAAAATTTGGTTTCAAAGACACTACTACCAAATGAATGCAAAATATCTTTTTCCAAATATTTCTCAAAAAGGGACATTAAAAGCTAAAAGTACAGTTGTTTGCTACTAAGGAAAAACGTGTTCACCTCACATTTCAGAAGCAGCTCAACTGAAATACACAGCAATGTGCTTCATCATTTTGCTTTACTACTGATGAATATGAAATTTTTCACATTTACACAGAAAAACTTTACAAAGTTGGCTAAAAGAACATTCCCCACTTTTTCCAATTTTTTTCTCCAGTTTTATTACCTAGATTTTTCCAAGAAAATTCAATTATTTCTTTCATGATGAAATTCTGAATTGTTCAAAATATACCAAAATATGCACTGATACACAGAGTACTATTACAACAGAAAAACAAAAAAAAATCTAGTACAATTTTGTTTCAAGAAATCATTCTCTTAGCTATTTAAATAAGCAAAAAAATTTTCAATCATATATAGAAAAAATTATCAGCAATGACATGTTTTAAAAAGAGACTTTATTAGAGTGAGTTATGAATTATAATGCTGATATTTGGAATTCTTACTTCAGAATCAAAAGATTTATTATAAGACCAACCAAACTTTATATATCATATTAGTATATAAAAGGATGTGTAATAGAAGGAACGAGTATTTTACATCACCTACAACCTTTTAGGTCAAAGAATAGGCTTCTGAGTCATGATAAACAATTACTAGAAATGCATTCATTAATTATGGAAGCACACATATAATTCTTAGTAATTTCACTATACATGGATATCACTTTACACAATGGATGCTTTCTTGAAGTTACCACTTAAACACCCTAGAGTTCACTAATTTAAAAAATCACTGGTAGATTCTTCTATAAAACAAAAAATAAACCCAAATCAATAAATACTATTGTGTTCCATCTGTATCAGACCCGAAGTATATTGGATGTGAGGGCTACAAAGATGAGCATCTGCATTAGAGACTTTTATAATCATCAGGGTTGATAACTACTAAAATAAACACACACACACACACACACACACACACAATTCTTGCATAAATGCAAATAAATATGCTCTAACTCTGTGGTTGTCAACTCTCAACCTGGGCTGCATGTTAGAATCACCTAGAGAGCTTTTTCAAAAACAAGGTCCAGCCCCTACCATTCCCCCACTGCCAGGTTCTTCCCCCCACCCCAAAATTCTGATTTGTTTATGAAGAGGCCCAAGCATCAGTATTTTTTTTACATGGGGCCCAACTGATTCTGGTGTAGCCAAGACTGAAAACCAGGGCCAGTTTGTTTCCTGGGGGCCAGTTTAAGTGTCAAAATCTACACAACACATACACACATAATGAAAGCAATGTCCTCATCCCTACCTCTCTCCCCTCCCACAGGCCTCAAATCCTTGCTGCCACTTTCAGAGACAAAGGGGAAAGCTTGGATCTTTTAGAAAATATGTATAGTTTAAGGCAGAAAAATAGAACAGGTTCTGGAAAGCAGAGATACTTTAGGAAAACTGCTCATTAGGGCAAACCCCCCAAAAAGGGCTACTATTGTCTACACTATGGTTTCTCCCCAAATGACTGTATTTTCCCCCACTTTAGTTTATCATACTACCTGAAATCCATCATGTATGGACTCAATTGTCCTAACCATCTTCTTACAAAAATACAATACTCTAAAGACACCAGTTTCCCCTATACATCTGTTTAATAAAATTGTTCTTGCCAAGACCAGGACAACATTGGGTGGATTTAAGAAACCAATGTTCTGATAGTGGAGATGGGAAGATAGATAATTCTGAAGTAGGAACCATTTCAGGAAGAAATATATACCTAAGTGACTCAAGAACATATCATGTTCAAGGAGAGTTAGGTCAGTGAAAACAAAGACAAAATATGAGCAGCTGGACTAACTGACCTTTACTATCACATCCAACTCTGAATTGTAAGATTCTATGAAAACACCAAAGACAAGCATCTCCTCTTCTTCTCCTCTCCTACCCAGAGTTCCTTCCTCCTAAGACACAGGTCTCAGGTTAGTGAATTAACACGTAAATTTTACCATCTATGCTTTTAAGACTACAAACTAATTAAAATACTTTAAGGATCATAAATCTTAAAGACTACAAACTGTTATAATTTGAGAGTGTCTGGATTTTTTTAGGTAGACCAAAAGTAAATCTCCTCAGTAAACAGTGAAAATTAACTATGAAAGTTAATCAGCATGCATTTAATCTAATGCACTGTTGAAGAGTAAGTTACTTTATTACAAGAGTCATTAGACTGCTGAGAGGAACATCAATGACCTAACTTTAATCTGAAAAGCATTTTAAAATTGGAGCAGCTGAAACAATACAGGCAAATATGTAGCCTTAAACATTTACGCTAAAAAGAAGAAAAGCTGCAAATTAATGAGTTAACCACTGATCACAAAAGTTTTAAAATTTTTCCAAGAAGAAAGAAAATAAAGAACAGAATGTAAAAACCATAAAATATACACGTAATAGAAAGGAAAAACTAAGCCAATAGCTGATTCTTTTAAAAGACTAACAAAATAAACCCCTAGCAGAAGAGGGAAGGCACACAAAAAATAAATAAAATAAAAAGGGGGACATATAACTACAGATACTAAAAATATTAAAAAGTTAACAGGATATTAATGAAAAACTTTATAGTGATAAATTTGAAAATCTAGATGAAATGTACAAATGCCCAGAATATGATCCTAGGAAAAACTGACAGTAATTTACAATTTAAACTGCTTGCATGTGAAATAAAACCCCAAACTTAATGTTTAAGAGGATCTGTGTGAGGTAAATTTGTATTACATGAGTTTACAAAACACTATTTAATTAAACTTTAATTTGAGAAAGTTGCAATTATTCTACAATCTACTTAGCTATTAGCAGTGGATTTAATGAAGAAATAAACAAGAAAATCACGGAAATACAAAAAAACTATATGTATAACCAGAAATATTAATGAAATTAGTAATTTTATATTAACAAGAATTCCACACTTTTGAAAACTCCCTTGAGAATCTGGTGAAAACTGTAAATACTCCTATAAAACTGCAAGTAAAAACAAACTTTTACATTAAAGGGCTCCGGGATCCCTTTATGCCCATGTAAGAAATGGGTGGAGTTCCAGATAAATACAACTTCAGGGCACCCAAAAGTCAGTTTAAAGGTAACATAAGATAAATTTTCAGTATCATCTCTGTGAGATCAAAATGAAATACAAACACTGAAATTAAAACACTGTTACCAATAACAGTTAATTGAGATACCTGCAAGAAGACTTTTCAATGGAGAGGATTAATTTAAATTAAACGAACCAAAACAAACAAAAAAAATCTCTAAAGAAACATAACCTTCCAGAATAATCTCAAATGGTACCTCTCTCATTAAAAACTCCTCTGCCTACTGCTCCCAAGCCCAGAGTACTCTAGCCCTGCTACAGCACTTATATTTCTGCTATGTATCACAGGCATTGGCGTATGTGGCTTATCCCTTCATAAGAACTTAAGCTATTCCATAGGACGTTAATAATCCCACTTCAGTATTCCTGCAGTGCTCAGAACGAGCAACTGGTGCACCCACTGAAATACCACATAGCAAAGAACAGAGATCTTGGAAACTCACTGCTTTCAGGCATTGTGACAGGAATCCCCTGAAATAACAGAATTGCTCTTAGAAGAACATGACAATTTACAATTATTGTTACTGTGCTGCCCATGAGGAAAAATGAAGAATTAGGATATGTTGGTTGTGGCAGTAGAAACACAGAAAAGACAGCAGCTTTGGAAAGTAAAGAATAAATAATACATAAATTCGGCATTTGTGTAAATAAACCCCCCAAAAATGAACCTCCAACTTGGGTGCTATTTTAACAATAATCAAACGAACATTCTTTCTCTAACTACACTTGGACCTTTTCTGGATCGGCTGGTTTGTTTGCTTAAGACATCAAAAGCTATTTTACTTGTGAAAATTTTCATCAGTTTCCTCCAGATGTAAAAGGATTTCCTCGGCGCACTCCAGAGAGGGAGCACCTGTGATCTTCTCCTTCACGCTCTGGAACAACTGCCTCAGCATCGCCTGCAGCATCACCTCGTCCTCGCCTGAGAAATGGGCCATCCTCTGCAAGAATCAAACGCCCATGCCCATTACTCCAGGTCGGCGCAAACGCCGCGCATTGCGCACGCGCGCCCCCACCCAGCCCTGGCCTGCGCGCTACGCCGTTCCCCGGGAGACCGCGGCAAGCGCTTGGGGGTGGATCCTTGGCTGCCCGCGCGTTTTTCTGGGAAACAAGTCACCTTACTATGGGGAAGCAGGGGTCCGTAAGGACCCGCCTTTGGTCCTCGTCGTTGCCGGCCTTCCGTACGAACAGAGTTCAAATTGTCCCCGCTAACCGCAAAAATAGAGATCCCGGAAGGTTTTGACGGGTGGGCCAGACGGCGGGACGCCTGCGGTGCGCGTGACGTCAGCGCGTTGACGGGCTTCCTAGGTGAGAGGGAGTGGCACTGGGGACCTGCTGGGCTCCTAAAGGAAGTTTCAGGTTCGCTCGCTGTGTTTAGCCTTGGACTTGTAGATGGGAGGGAGCCGAGTACGAAGAGAAAGAGTTGAGTAAAAGTGAAACTGAAAATAGATTGAAACGTTTTAATTACGTGAATGGTATTGAAATGTTACAGCGCGGTTTTTCTTTAGCAGCCAACATTTATTGATGCCTCCCCTTACCAAGCACCTTGCTAGGAACTGTGAAGAAGACGGCCCTCATAATCAGACACAAAAAGAAATCAACGTTTACACCACAGTGCAATTAAGTGTTATGTTAGAGAAACCCACCAGGTAGGTGTTGTGGAAATCCAGAATCCCCTTTTAACCCGATAGAAGGGTCAAGAAAAGAAGCGAAGAGAGAGCTGTAACCTACGCCGCCGGTACTCGAGTTAGTAGAGTTAGAAGGAGGAGGTGGGGAGGCTAGAGAAGCAAATAGGCCACAACTGAAAGGGTCATATTTGGCATGTTTACGGGTTAGAGATTAATCTTGGAAGCAACAGGACACAATTGGATTCCATAGTGACACCATGAGATACCATATATGAGGAACCTGTGCAGGAAACTGCAGTGCATAATCATAGACCTTCATCCAGTTTCCAATCTAGATAAATCCCCAGACCATGGTCATGTCCAAGGTAAGGAGCCAACCCATCAGAGTATTAGCATCAGATCCTGGTGTCTGGAATAGTCCCAAGCCACTGATGAGTGGTTTAATGTCAATAAATTCTCCCTTATCCAGCTTAAATTTTACACTTCTGGTCCAATAACATCTGATACACTTCACATGTTAGCTAGAATCAGTGATTTCCTTGATGTTTACGCTGTTACTTCCAAGAGTAAAAGTATAATATGTCCTTGCCAACTGTGGCAGCATGTTTCTTGGTAAAATGTATGCTTAATCTGCCAGAGTAGGCACACTTGTAACTTTATTTGTGGGTGAACCTATAAAACCCATTATGTATATATGCATGTGTGTGTGTGTACATGCACAGAATCACCAGCAATGTGATAGCTACATATTTAGATTAACACAGATGAGTTGTATTAGCACCTCAAACATCAAGATTAACAGAGCTAGTAGTGGTGTGATTTTTCTGAAATAGTAAGCTATTATTGTTAAAATTCAGAACAAAATAAAATAATACCCTTTCCTTGATTACACAGTTTTTGCATTCTGGGAAAATTTGGTGTTAAAACTGCCAAATATTTTTATATAAAATGGAATTCATTCCTATACTCAAATAGTTATCAAGAGCTTTTTCATCTACCTGAATGTCCGGCAGGATCATTGAGAGTCATATAGGAACCAGAACAATTCTTTTGTGTGGGAAATTTTCTGTGTGTAATTCAAGATGTTTCATATCTCTAGCTCACACTACAGATGCCAGTAACTGCTATCTAATCATTGTGATAACAAACATGGCCCCATGTATTTATAAAATGCTTTCTTGGGAAGCAGGAGTGATTTGAACTGCACAGATTGAGAACCACTGTTCTAAAGGATATAACTTAGGAAAAAGAAAAACAACCGTAATAGCATACCTGAGATAAAAGAATGGAAGATAGCCAAACAGCAAGTGAGGGTGGTAATGCATTTAAGTAAATCTCAATAAATATTGTCTGTATAAAATAATAATAACCTATAATATTCTAATTTGTGAAGGTAAAAATGCATAGCACTAAAATACTGTAAACAATCATGTATGAGTAGGAAGTCATGATAGGTTGAAGTACTCTGCAATTCTTGTATTTTTCTACATGGAGTTTAAGATACTGAACTTGATTAGGTAGGCATAGTAAAATTTCAAATGTAACCATTACAAAATTAGAAACAAATAAATTCAAAAAACAGAAGGAAAAATGAAATAAGAGAAAAGCAAAAATCCCATTCAATTAAAAAAAAAAGTCAAGAAAGAAAACAGAAGCGTAAGAAAAATAGGAAAAATTAAAATATACAAAGATACATGATAGAAAAAGTCCAAAATACTGATTAATTTAAATAAACTCAGCCCTCTTGTAGGAACTGTCAGACTGACTATTAAAATAACCAACTATAGGGGTGCCTGGGTGGCTCAGTCAAGTGTCCAACTCTTGGTTTAGGCTTAGGTCATGATCTCAGGGTTGTGGGATTGAGCAGCAGTCTCCCTGCTCAATGGGGAGTCTGCTTGAGTTTCTCTCGCTCTGCCCCTTCTCCTACTTGTACTCTCTCCCTCTCAAATAAGTAAATCTTAAAAAATAATAAAATAAGCAGCTATATTCTATTTATCAAAGCCCTAAAAACAGAAAAATTAAGATTAAAAAGGTGGGGAAAGATAAACCAGATGAATATTATCCAAAAGAAAGCTGTTGAGGCTATGTTTGTGTCAGCAAAAATAAAACTTAAGGAAAAAATACATTAGGCACATAGCATGGCACTTCATAATTCAACAGGAAGATAAAATTTTTAACTTAAAGTAAGTAAGCAAAATTCTTAATCTCTCCAGAAGTCTAATATTTTCCAGAGAAGGTTTCTGCACATAAGATACACTTCAAAGTTGAATACCTAAGATCTATTTTTTAGGTTTGCTTTCTCAGATTGTAAGAAACAGGGAAAAAATTTTCTCAGCAAAGTTAGTGTTTATGAAGAACTGAAATATCATTTATCATTGTTAAAGATACAAAAACCTCTCAAGATATCCCAAAACTGTTGTAGAAACCTAATTACCTTGTTGTCCATATTATAATAACCCTATCATTTTCATGATTCACTTTGTCTCTTTCTTTATAATCTCTGCTTCTACTGCTTCTGACCATCTTTTCTTTTTTTTTAATTTGTATTTCTTTTATTATGAGCAAAGTTGGTTATCTTTTCATATTTTAAGAGCCATTTAAAATCCTTATGAAAAGAATTCACATAAAGTGAACCTTTGCCAATTTTTCTTTTAGTTGTTAATCTTTTTATTTTTTTTAATTTTATTATGTTATGTTAATCACCATACATTACATCATTAGTTTTTGATGTAGTGTTCCATGATTCATTGTTTGCATATAACACCCAGTGCTCCATTCAATATGTGCCCTCTTTAATACCCATCACCAGGCTAACCCAGCCCCCACCCTCCTCCCCTCTAGAACCCTCAGTTTGTTTCTCAGAGTCCTTAGTCTCTCATGGTTCATCTCCCCCTCCGATTTCCCCCCCTTCATTTTTCCCTTCCTACCATCTTCTTCTTTTTTTTAACATATAATGTATTATTTGTTTCAGAGGTACAGGTCTGTGATTCAACAGTCTTACACAATTCACAGTGCTCACCATAGTACATACCTTCCCCAATGTCTATCACCCAGCCACCCCATCCCTCCCACACCCCACCACTCCAGCAACCCTCAGTTTGTTTCCTGAGATTAAGAATTCCTCATATCAGTGAGATCATATGATACATGTCTTTCTCTGATTGACTTATTTCGCTCAGCATAATACCCTCCAGTTCCATCCACGTCGTTGCAAATGGCAAGATTTCATTCCTTTTGATGGCTGCATAATATTCCATTGTATATATATACCACATCTTCTTTATCCATTCATCTGTCGATGGACATCTTGACTCTTTCCATAGTTTGGCTATTGTGGACATTGCTGCTATAAACATCGGGGTGCATGTACCCCTTTGGATCCCTACATTTGTATCTTTGGGGTAAATACCCAGTAGTGCAATTGCTGGGTCATACGGTAGCTCTATTTTCAACTTTTTGAGGAACCTCCGTACTGTTTTCCAGAGTGGCTGCACCAGCTTGCATTCCCACCAACAGTGTAAGAGGGTTCCCCTTTCTCCACATCCCCACCAACATCTGTCATTTCCTGGCTTGTTAATTTTAGCCATTCTGAATGGTGTGAGGTGGTATCTCATTGAGGTTTTGATTTGGATTTCCCTGATGCCAAGTGATGTTGAGCACTTTTTCATGTGTCTGTTGGCCATTTGGATGTCTTCTTTAGAAAAATGTCTGTTCATGACCATCTTTTCTTAATGCCACCTGCATTTAAAACTCCCTAAGGCAAACCATAAGAGAACCTTAAATATAAAGAACAAACTGAGGGTTGCTGGAGGGGAGGTAGGTGCGGGGATGGGCTAAATAGGTGATGGGCATTAAGGAGGGCGCTTGTTAGAATGAGCACTGGCTATTATATGTGCGTGATGAATACTGGATTCTGCTCCTGAAGCCAGTAATGCACTGTATATTAACTAACTTGAATTTAAAATAAATAAACATACAAACTCCCTAAGACTCTATAGAGGATGCCTTGATGCATAGCCCATACCCCTTCAGGACAAAGCACTTATTCCCTCATCTCCTTGAAGTGTTGGCTACTGATATTTTATAGCTGAATCCCTCTTCAGGAATTGCCCTGGGAGAAGGAAGTGGTCATGCTCCCTCCCTGCGAAAGGCTCATGTCTGATGACTGGTCAGTGTGATATCTAATCAGCCATTCTTTTTGTCTCAGTTGGAACAACTCTGAAGCATCCCAGTTTCAGAACTCCTCGTGATTTCCTGAAGCCTCTGTTGCAAGGGCATTACAGTTGAACTTCTTTTTTGTTTTGTTTTGTTTTTAACATTTTATTTATTTATTTGACAGAGAGAGACACAGCGAGAGAGGAGACACAAGCAGGGGCAGAAGGAGAGGGAGAACCAGACTCCCCATTGAGCAAGGAGCCCAATGTGGGACTCAATCCCAGGACCCTGGGATCATGACCTGAGCCGAAAGCAGATGCTTAATGACTGAGCCACCCAGGCGCCCTACAGCTGAACTTCTTATTCCTAATTTTACTTCCCAAAGTTCTACCAGATACTGTCTCCAAGAACACACACTAATAAGTCTGCATACAAATCTCGGATTCCTGGAGTCTGTTTCCAGAGAAATGCTATCTGCTACAGAATCTGACTGGGTCAATTAGATAGTATCCCACTATCCGATACATATTGTTCCTAATAGGATGAGTTT